CCCCGGAACGCTGTCCCCAGGAGCCTCCACTGGCCGCCTGCCCTGTCTTGCGAAGGGCAAGTCGAGGCGCCCTCCAAGCCTCGTTACCAAGACTGACGGCAGACTGCGGTGGATGGAGAGCAGGCCGGGGGCCAGTGAGGGGGCCCTGGGTCCAGGAGGCCCCAGAGTCCGGGAGCCCCAAGTCCAGGAGGCCCCAGGGTCTAGGAGCCCCAAGTCCGGGAGGCCCCAGGGTCTGGGAGCCCCAGGGTCCCGGAAGCCCCAGGGTCCCGGAGGCCCCAGAGTCCGGGAGCCCCAGTCCAGGAGGCCCCAGGGTCCAGGATCCCCAAGTCCGGGAGGTCTCAGGGTCTCGGGAGCCCAAGTCCGGGAGGCCCCAGGGTCTGGGATCCCCAAGGGCCCGGGAACCCCACGTGTGGGAGGCCCCAGATCCCAGAGCCCAAGTTAGGGTTAGGCCCCGAGCACGTGGCCAGGCCAGGACAGATGTGCGGGCTGAGGTCGCCTTGGCTGGTGGCGTTAGCTTGTGCGCCCCATGCCAGCAAGCGCCGGACAGCAACAGCCACAGGGTCCTGCTGCAGCCGAGGCCAGTGCGGCGGCCAGTCACGGCCTCTGGACTCTGTGCGGGAGCAGACAGGCAGCCCGGCCTGGGACATCCCGAGATGCCCCTAAGGAATCCACCCGGCGCAGAGAAAGTGGAGGAAAGATGAACAGCTAGACAGGATGAGGAGAGGCTGCTGGGGGGTGAAGGAGGCGGAGACCAGTGACACAAGCTATGCAACGTCCATCGTCTGACAGATTCCGGGTGGATCGGGATAAGCTCTGAAAAATCAAACTGTCCATTGCTAACTTATGTTATGACCTCCCTTTTTTGTATAAACATAATATCAAAATATTCTGAGCCACATTCAGTTTACAACTGGATTGACTTAGCTGCAAAAGGCAGCTGCTGGTTCAGGCCAGCTGCCCCAGGGTGAGAAATTCCTCTGTCTCCTGAGACAAAAGCCAAGCCCCAGGAGAGAAAGACCCAGGACCTAAAAAACTCCTGGGGAAGCTCCCTTGGTTTCTTTGAATAAAAATAAACTTCAGATAAGGCTCCCAGGGCCTAAGGACTCATGGACAAATTTTAACCTTGTCTACACAGGTATTGTTTGATATAGAACTGTATAACTTTCTCTTAATTTACTCCCTTTTAAAGCAAGCACTAACTGCTCTCTGATAGCCTCAAATTACCCATTAGCTTTTCCTTAGACAATCACTGGTAACACTAACACAATATATGACTATCCCAAAACCCCTAACAACCTTTTGCTAACAAGCTCACCCTTTTCCAGACCCCTCTTCCTTTGAGTGATAACTAGACAGCTGTATACATGATAACTATCACAAAATAATCTATTATACCATAAATTGTTGAGAAGAATGCTTTTTCCCCTTGTCTTGAGAATGTTTTATGGAGATATCTCATTAATTTACCCTATGCATTATTACAATTAACTACTTGCTACACAGTATAAATAAAGACCTACTGAAGGGATAGCAGTGTTATAGGGCACCTCAATTCAGAGAGAGGCACCCCTGAGGCCCCAAAACCTGCCTGCTCTAAGTGG